TGAAATCCTGTACCAGGGTGGAGGCAGTAACTAACACTTGTGTAGCATATTAAAGTTTTCAAATCACTTTTCCTTCATTATCTTATTTAAGACCTACAACAATCCAAAGAAGTTTCTTCTCATTATTGTCCCAATTTTGCAGGTAAGGAAACTGATCATCACATGACTTGCCCTGGGGGGGGGGTCACACAGTACTTCTCAGAAGTGACTAAGTCCAGAGCTTTAGCTAATTTACCATATAGTCTTACAAACAATCAAACACTATTTCTTCCATCTGGGAATCTCTCTCTTCCTCCAAATTTACACATACACACACACACACACTGTACATACACACACTGCACACATGCACACATGCACACATGCACAAAAAACAAAGGTAATCATAAGCTGGCTTCTGAGCTTTCTTGCACCTGTCTGGCAGCCTCTTCCTACCTCAGTTGTAGCCCAACAAATGCCCAAATTTGATGCCTTTCATTTCCTGCTAGACAATACAGAAAGCACCCCTCCCCCCCCTTTTTTTATTTATGTATTTCTGTGAAGCTCATGTAGGTATGATGTCATGTGAAATTATGGAGTCCTAGTTTGAGGAGGAAGAAGAGTCTCTTAAATCTAGTTAACAACCTCACCAGCACTTTAGAGGGATCAGCTTGATTTGGGCTGTTCTAAATGCCCATCCATTTGGCCTTTGGCTTCTACTGCTCTGAAAGGTTGATTAGATTTTCCAACTTTCTTTCACTCCTCCACTCAGGCATAACCAGCTTCTTCCCTCCCCTTCCAAAAGAAAAGTGCTGTTTGTTGTGTATACACACCCTCTTTACAAAGTAAAAGGATATTAATTCCCGGAGGGGGTTGGTGAGAATGGCCCAATAAGGTCATAGGATCACATAATTAGAGCTGGGAGGGACTTTAAATCTCATCTAGTCCAATTTTCCCCTTTGACAAGATGTTGAAACCAATGTTCACAGAGTAGTAACCAGCTCTGGGTCCTGAGGGTGGATTTGGAAACAAATCTTTGGACTCCAGATACTTTACCACCCAGCCAGAAATCTTCTGCCAGCTATCTTTATGTGATCATCCTGCATCCTTGGCCTTATCAGACCCTTAGTCTTTTCCCTCTGAGCTCTGGGTTTGAATCCTGGAGCTGTGTGTAGGCTTGGGACAATCCCTTCTCTTTCTGCGATGCAGCATCTTCCTCTTTGAAAGGAGTGTTGCAGTGAGGTGCAGAGAACCAGGAGAACATTGTACACAGTCATAGCAATGTTATAAGGATGATCAGCTGTGAATGCCTTAGCTATTCTCAGCAACACAATGATCCAAGACAATCCCCAAAGACTTAAGGATGAAGACTTCACCTCCAGAGAAAGCACTGATATTGATTGGATATAGACTGAAGCAGGCTGTTTTTCACTTTCATTTTGTTTTTCTTCATGGCCAAATCCAACGACCTGGTCTCAGTCCTCATCTTTCTTGATTTCCTGGAAGCCTTAGTATTTTCAATAACCCTCTTCTCCTTGATAACTCTACTCTCTCCTGGTTCTCCTCCTACCTATCAGACCTCTCCTTCTCAGGGTCCTTTGTTGGATCTTCTTTTTTTATTTATATTTATGGAATAGGACAAGCATTTTCATAATATTGTATAACAAAATAAGATGATTGCACATGAAACTGAAAATCTGTTATGTACAAATTGCTATTCATTTTAGATATTTTAGTTAGCACGCAAATTTCTTTTTTTCCCCTTTTATAGTTCCCCCCTGCCCTAGAGCTGGCTAACATTAGACACAAATACACACACACACACACACACACACACACATACACACATATACATATATAACATTATATGTATATGTAATATTATGAATACAAATATATAAATACACACATAAGTAAAATCATTCCATACATACTTCTATTTATCAGTTCTTTCTCTGGATGCAGATAGTGTCTTCCTTCATATGTCCTTTGTAGTTAAGTTGGTAATAGTCAAAATGACTTAGTCACTAAAAGTTGCTTTTGAAACAGTATAGTTGCTACTGCATGCAATGTTCTCTTGGTTCTGCTCATTTCACTCTTCTTTATTTTGTGCAAGTCTATCCATATTTTTCTAAGATCATTGAACTCATTATTTCTTATAGCACAGTAGTATTCCATCACAATCATATACCACAACTTGTTTAGCATTCCCTAATTGACAGGCATCCCCACAATTTCCAGTGCTTTGCCACCACAAAGAGAGATTCTATAAACATTTTTAGAACATAAAGGTTCTTTCCTTTTTCCCTAATCATCTTTTGAAAAAAGGCTAGTCATGGAATTGCTGGATCAGAGGGCATAGGTAGTTTAATAACTCTTGGGTCACAAATCCAGATTGTTCTCCAAATGATTGGATCAGTTCAAAATTCCACCATCAGTGAATTCCCAATTTTTCCATGTCCCATCCAATATATGTTGCTTTCCCCTTCAATCATTTTAGCCAATCTGATAGGTATAAAATGATATCTCAAAGTTCCCTTAATTTGCATTTCTCTAGTCAATAATGATTTATGACTATGAATTGTTTTGATTTCTTCATCAGAAAACTGCCTATTCATATCCTTTGGCTACTTATTGGTTGAGGAATAACTTGTGTTCTTAGAGATTTTACAAAGTTCCTTATATATTTGAGATATGAGACCTTTATCTGAGAAGCTGTCTATTAAATTTTCCCCAAATTTTTCTGTTTTCTTTCTGATCTTGGCTACATTTATTTTATTTGTACTCATGACTTTGTCCTGTTTCCTCTTCTCTTTTCCCTCTACACTAATTCACTTGGTGATCTCATTAGCTCTCAAGATTCAATTATTAACCCCACACTGTTCATTCTCAAATCTGCTTCTCTAGCCTGAAGTTTTCTACCAACTTCCAGTCTCACATCTCCAATAGCTGCCTAGTAGACATATCACAAGTGTACATCCAGCAGGTGTCTTCAACACATGTCTGAACCTCCTTTCTTTCCTCTTTCTTCCAAACTTCATTATTACTGTCAAGGGTACCACTATCCCTTCAGTCTCCCTAGGCTTGAAATGTAAATGTCAGTTTCAACTCCTCCATCTCTCTCCTCCTCTCCCCCTCCCATATCCGATCTGTTGCCAAAGTTTGCTAACTTGATCTTAGCAATCTTTCTCAAATATGTCCCCTTCTCTGATGCTGCTGTCAACCTTGTGCTCTTTGTACCTGGGCTATTTCAATAGCCTGCCTGTTGGTCTCCTTGCTGCAAGGCTATCTCTCCATTTCAGTCTATCCTATTCACTCCACTGTCAAAACGATTTTCCTAAAGTATACATCTGACTGTGTCATCCCCTGCTCAATAAGCTCCATATGACCTCCAGGATAAAACTTAAAATCCTCTGCTTAGCATTCAAAGCCTTTTATAACCTGCCCCCCACCTTTCTAATTTTCTTATACCTTGTGTATGCGCACATGTGCACACACACACAGACACACACACACACACACACACACACACACACACACACACACTCCTTTTACCCTCTTGATGCAGTGATTCTGCCCTCCTTGTCCTTCCTTGAACAAAACACTCCTTTTTTACTGCCAGCCTGGCATGCCTGGAAGTCTCTCCCTCCTTATCTCTGATTCCTGGCTTCCCAGGTAAAATCTAACCTCCTACAGGAAAACTTTCTCAGTTCCCCTTGAGGCTAGTACCTTCTTTCTGGTGATCATTTCCCATTAATTCTATATATGGCTTGTTTCTAAGTTGTTTGTACATTGTCTTACCTGTTAGACTGTGAGCTCCTTGAGGGTAGGAACTATATTTTGTCCCCAGTGCTTAGCATAGTGTCTGGCACATAGTAGGGGCTTGATAAATGTTTATTGACTGACTGATTGACTCCCCTTGGTGCTCCTCTGGGAATCTAGATTGTATCATGTGGATAAAGCTGCCCTCCACCAGGCTGTTGGGACCTGCTTCCCTAGGCTTTGGTGGGAAGGTGCTAAGGTTAACAGAGGGCAGTGACAGGCTTCAGAAAAGGAATCTTTGGACGTCAGATGACTGGAGCGCTGTGTAAGCATGAGAAGTCAAGGTGCCAATCCCAACTGGGCTACTCACTGGTGGGCAATCCAATTGCCCTCTTTGGGCCCAATTCCTCATCTCTACAAAGTAAGGAATAATGAGCTCCTGTTCCCTCTTTCAAAGGGACCTTTTCAGAATGCTTTCCCCACAAATGCCTGTGAGTTCCTTGGAGCAGGCATTATATTTCTCTTCACAAATGAGCTACCAAGGCTCCTAGAGACAAGAGGGACCTGAGGGCCATTCTTACTTGCCCAAGAATCCCCTCTGGGTGACATATGGCCATCCATCCTCAGCCTGGAGACCTCCAGTGCAGGGGGAGCCCCCCATCTCCAGCCCATCTCCAGCCCATATCCCCTGGGGAGGTCTCTCCTTCTGAAAGGTTTTGTCTTTTTATGGCTCCTTTAGGCTCCCACAATTAGTGGGAGTTAGTGTGTGCCAGGCTAGAGACAAGACTGCCTGAGATTCTTTCTGGCTCCAAGGCCAGGGAGTTTGTCCTGCCCCTGCAAAGGGCCTTCTCAGCCTCTTCTCCAAAGTCCCTTGCAGTGCTCACGTTCACAAGGAGAAAGACAGGAAAGGTTGAGAGCAGCTAAGGCAGGCGTGAGCGGGGTCAGGAGTAGGCAAATTGCAAGAGGAGAATTTGCCTGGTGAGAGGTGAGGGATTGGAGCTCACCAGGTAGGGTGCAGAGGTAGGGGGAGCAGAGGTGGTTCTCCCGGAAGGTGGGGATACCTGGGCTGGGAAGTGGGATCCCTGGGGTGGGGGGGACTGAGGAAGAGGGTGAGTAAACCAAGAATTGGGAAGGGGGAGAGGAAGTCGAGATGAATGTGCTGGATGGGCGGAGGAAGAGGAAGGGGAGGGAAGGAATTTGAGCACCTAAGGAGGGCTGGGCTGGGCTGGGCTTGGAAGAGTGATAGGAACCGGGTCTACCCGACGGTTGCGCTTGCTACCACTGCTCGCGCTGCTCAGCCCAGGAGTCAGTGATCGCCGCCAATCCCCCCACCCCTGCAGTCGATCCCCCCGGCCTGTTCTCGACTCCTCTTGGGCCGTCAGCACTCCCCGAGGTTGCGACTCAGAAGAGGAGCAGGACAGAGTTCCATGGGACCGTCATGAAAGTTCCAGGGCAGCCGTCAGCCAACCCACCGGGCCCCTCGGGCCAGCCACATCCCCCCAGTGCCCAGGAGCTGTTGGATTTGGCTGTGTACGGAGACCACCTGAATCTCTACCAGCCAGGACTCCCCCAGCACCCTCACCTCCAGTCAAGAGCCACTTCGGCGCCTTCCACCGGCTTCGGGCTCTCAGACTACGGCGGTGCGGGGACCAACCCCTACCTGTGGCTAAATGGGCCGGCCCTCAGCCAGCCCTCGTACCTGCCCAGCTACAGCGGCCCCGGACAGCGCCCGTTCCTGCCCCCTTCGTCCGGCTTCGGGGCCGCGGCCGAACTCACCTGGTTGTCGCTGTCCAACCAGCAGGAGCTCTTTAAGATAATGCGGCCGCCGTACTCTTACTCGGCCCTCATCGCCATGGCCATCGAGAACGCCCCGGACAAGAAGCTTACTTTGAGCCAGATCTATCAGTACGTGGAGGGCACCTTCCCCTTCTACAAAAAGAGCAAGGCCGGCTGGCAGAACTCCATTCGTCATAACCTTTCCCTCAATGACTGCTTCAAGAAGGTGCCCCGGGATGAAGATGACCCAGGTATGCTGTCTTTTGACCCTTCCTGTAGACTAGGAAACGCCCCCCACCTTCAGGCTTGACCTGGTTTCCCACCCTTTCATCTCCTGCGGGCAGAAGTCCATCTCTGGCTGACTCTGTCCTACAGAACAGGGGGGCTCTGAACAAAGTCCTGGAGGTGACCTCAGAAGACCCGAAGGGAAGCCCTGCTCAGGCACTTCCTACCTGTGGCACCCTGGGCAAGTCCTTTGACCATCTTAGACTTCCATTTCTTCATCTGTAAGATAAGGCAGGTCTCTCCCAACTCTAATCCCAAACATACCTATCTAAACCCACACATGCCTGTCTGATGGGTTGTAGGCAAGAGACTTGTTCCATCCTAGTCCAATATGTCACCTGCATGTACAATAGGTGGTGGGGTATGGGACAGAGATGTCATCTTTCTGAAGGAAGCTGCTAGCATCCCCATACAATACAGCTGGCACTTACATAGCACTTTACAGAAATTCCTGTCATTTGAGTCTCCCAGCAACTCTGTAAGGAGGGTTAATACCTGTAATAACACAGGCATTATTATTCTCATTACACTCATTAAAAGTGAGTTGCCCAGGGTCACACATCTATTGTCAGTGGAAGGTTCTGAACCTAGGTCTTTCTGATTCCAAGTCCAAGGCTCTGCCTACTCTATGCCATTACTTGAGTGGTCCTAGGCTAATTTGCAGGAAAGCTGATTGTCAACTCATCTTTAAAAAAACAATCTACTGTTCTCCTGCAGGGAAAGGAAATTACTGGACCTTGGACCCAAACTGTGAGAAAATGTTTGATCATGGAAACTTCCGGAGAAAGAGGAAAAAACGAGGGGACCCCAATGGGACAGGGACACTGGGATCTGCCTCTAAGTCTGAAGACAGTAGCTCTGGGACCCTCAAAAACCCAGTGGAGAACCTAGGCCTCATTGACTCCACCTCCCCAGAGTTGCTTAGCTCACCCAGCTCTGGGACTGAATCCAAACCCCCCTTACTAGCTATAGAACCCAGCCCATGTTCCTCTGCCTTCACTTCCACTGTGGGGGCCCTGGCTAATGGCTGTGGAGTCTTCCCCAGGCACTTCACAGGATCAGGAAGTGAACCAGTAGGAGACTTAGCTCTGGGGAGGCAGGTGAGCTCTGGCCTCAGTTCCTACCCAGCTTGTTCCAACATGGTGCATGGTGTGGATCTTGGCCCCCAGGCTCAGTCCCAACACATGAATGGTCATTCCACCAGCTTTCATAACTTCCATGTCAACAACTTGATCCATAGCAGAGAAGGGAGTGAGGTTTAGAGTAAGGGAAGGTAGATATTCACAGAAACTATGGATCGGGCCCTCCTTCCTTCAACCTTTACTCTTCGCGTCTGGCTAGTATAGCCTTCAGAGAAGACTGGAGGAAGGAAACAAGCATTTGTTCAGTGTTTACTATGTGCCAGGCACTATGCTAAGCACTTTACAAATATCTCATTTGATTCTCACAACAGTCTTTAGTGGTAGGTCCTACTATTATCCTCATTTTACAGATGAAACTCAGACAGAGAAGTGACTTTCCCAGGGTCACACAACTAGTAAATGTTGGAGGCCAGATCTGAACTCAGCTCTTCCTGAATCTAGGTCTAGTGCTCTATTTACTGTGTGACCTAGCTGTGAATATTGGCCTTAGAGGATTATTCCAAAATCTTCCCTGCCAACCCCAGTTTAGCCTAGAAAATGGCATCCTTTGGGCTCTATGAATAAGGCAAGCTCTGCCTACTGTTTGTGACCTCCAGTGTTGTCCTTTCCAGGATGGGGAAATGAGGGAAATAAACAGTCTTTGAGGCCACTGTCCCTTCTCTGATTTTAGCATCTGGTGAAGAGTTCAGGATTCCCAGACACCAGTTCTGTAGAAGGGGTGGGGTGGCTCTGTAATGATCTCTTTCCTTTAAAATGAAATAGAGCTGGTTTGCATATTCATCATTTGGACTCCTGTGTTTTCTTTTCAACCTTCCAACTCTCTTGACTGAACTCCTCGGGAGTTAGCAGTGGACAATAGAGTCTATGGCTTGGGTTTGAATCCTGGTGCAGCCACTGCTTCATTGATCTATGCCACGACCTGGAATCCAATGCTCTCCAAAGGTCCAGCTCTAAGATAAGTGTCTCAGTGGCCAGGTTTTGTATTAAAGGAGGCATCTCCTCAGCACTGTCCTGAGAACTCTAGCAGGGATCCAGGAGCTTCTCAGAGGCAGCTCCTTTCCAAGGGACCATGTTCAGAAGTGGTTAAGTTCTCAGTGGCTCCTGACACCTGAAGTAAAGAAACTCTCTACCCTCTTTTCCTCAATGTCTTCTTTATCTACTCCTTCTCCTCTATCTTACTGTCTCATATGTCCCTCTACTTCTTGGTTCATTTTCCTCTATCTGGCCAGTTGTCTGTCTTAATCAATCTTTGTTCCTCTCTTTGTCTCTCTGAACATCTGTCTCCCTGTATCTTTTTTCCCTCCCCAACCCAATTTAAAATTTAGGGAACTTGAACTCATTCACTTCTCCTTCCTCCTGTCTTTCACTGCCCCTATGCTGTGTCTGAGCACAGACAAGCCCTCCCTACCTCTTCTACTTCAGACTATCCCTCCCCCAAGCCATTTTTGTCTGCTTTTGTCCCTATGTGGAACCTTCTCAGGATGGCTATGTTAGAAATGACTAGTTCTGCTTTTCAACATTCCCACTGTGAATAGGAACCCTCAGGATGAAGTTAGTACTCACTGAAGCTACCACAGAATCCAGATTCCTGCCAAGGTCTTGCTAATGACCAGTTCTCCAAATTTCCTTTTGATATTCCTTGTGACCCTGTGGAATGCAGTTCTAGCTAGCTTCCTAGAGAAGGGGGAAGCAACAGATGGAACATGGTACCCCAAGGAAACTGTGTCTGGATCCCCATCAGCTAATGTCTCTGCCTTGGTGGAAATAGCTTTGTGATTATACTGTGGAATAGAGATGTGTATGTGTGTGTATACCAAGAGTGTATACACATGTAAGTCTGTGAATGTCGGGATAGGTTGGAAAGTGAGTCCTCTCAGTCTCCAGGAAAAAGTCCAAGGAGTGGGGCTTGGAAAGCTAAGATTCCCAGTGAGAGCACTGATATGGAGGGGAGACCAGCTGTTACTGGGGTCAGAAACGGGATTCTCTTTTTCTAAGGCTCCCTTCCTGTTCTAGAAAAAAAAAACCTGAAAATGAAGGGAGTGGTTGATTTATAATCCCTACTGAAGCCAACAGTTCAATCTTCCCACCCCGGGGAGTTAGGAGGCCTTAGGAAGAGCAGCATCCAGTCTTTCCAGCTGAGGCTTGGCCCTTGTAGTGGAGCTGTCCAGTAAACAGCCTGCCTCTACCTCTCCACTGGCTATGGCTCTTCAAAGTCATCTGTGACCCTTGGCCTGGCCCCATTATGTCCATTGAGCTGCCTCACACAGAGGTCTCCAATTCAGATTTCTGGAAGATTTGGGGGAGTGAGGAGGAGCGGAGTTGAAGAGAAGATTGGGCACCATCCCTAGACATTCACTGAACTCCTTTCCCTGTTGTGATGTGATGTGTGTGTGTGTGTGTGTGTTTATCTCTTCCCTTCTTTGGCACCTTCCCTTTTGTCTTTGTGTACACAACCCAGAGAACTGTCATTCCAATATCAGCTCTTGCATCCACTGTGGGGCAAATGACATCAGAACAGGCTGGAAACCCTTAACTTGTCAATGAATGAGCTTTTCCTCCTTTTTACTTGGATGCAAGGTTAAAAAAGGCCACCCAATCAATGTCACTTCCTATAAATCTGGCTCATCATATGTGACCTTTTAAATTAAGAGACTTCAGAAAAGAGAAAGATTTATCCTACGAGCCTCCAGCTAGGTGGGAAGAAGGATAGGAGAGGAGGGGAGAAAATGAATAAGTTGTAGGAAATGTGGTTGGGAATATTGCTTCTGTGTATCACTCAGCAGGGTGACGAGTAGCTGCTGGGGTATTGACAGCTGTGGGCTGTTGACAAGGAAGTGTGGGGAATGGGAGATGTAATTAGGGGCAGAGACTCAGGTGGGGAAATTGGCTGTAACCTCTGTAGTACCCAGCCAATGGGGAATCAGAGGAGCGACTTGTCTTCTGGGATGAGGCTGTACTTACAAGCCTCAAGGGTGTGCCCACACATGGGACACCTGGCCTTGCTAGCTGTTAATAAAGTTATTTGTAACCCTTATTGTGCTATATAAATACCTACTATTATTGTCTAGCAATAATCACGTTGGACTTTTTAAAAATTTTTGAAGAACTTTATGCATATTATCATTTGATCCTCACACCATTATATGCCTCAGTTTCCTCACTGGTAAAATGAGAGGATTGAATGAGACAAGTCCCAAGGTCTCTTCCCTATTTAAATCTCCAATCCTATGAAAAATATACATCTAGGACAGTGAATCCAAACAGTAAAATTTACTGGAAAACTTGACCCTGTTAGCTGGTGCCCTGAACTAGCTCATTCATTTAGCAAGCGTTTACTAAGCACTTGCTACATGCCAGACACTGCTATCAGTTGGCACCACAAGGGCAGAAACAAAACCAGAAAGAAGAATGCCTGAGTGGTCCAACATTTTCACAGTTTCTGGCTGTGTTGGAAGTTACTGTGCCCAGGAGTATTTGGTTAAGAGGAATGGCAGTAGCTTCCCTCTCCCCATCTCCTATTTCAGCCATTTGTCCCTGAACATCCCAAGGATAACAATACAAAAGCAGAGAGGAGGAAATGGAAATGCATCTAAGGCTCAGAGTTCCCAAAACCAGAAGCCCATCTCATTGCCCCCCAAAAAGGGTCTTCTTGGAGGAAATAAATGTGTCCCCAGTCTAAACCTCAGAAATGGTCACCCCTTCTTGCACTCTTCCTCTCCTCTCCATGGGCCAGACTAAAAAGATGTTGCCTGAAACCAGATTGTACACCGAATGGAGAGGCATGGAATAGCTTGTGACATGGACCAGGTGGAGCAGCATTACTGACTCAGTTTATTCATCTGAGGGTACAGGATATATATATATATAGAAAATCTAGCCTAACTTCAAACAGTCCTCCCCATGAGATACTCCCCAGAATATCTGCTGAGGATGTGGCAACATGAATTTCCTCGTTATCAGGGTTCCTAGATTGGGTTGTATTTTCCAAGGTTTTCCCAGGCACCTTGGCTTCACCTACATAGAGAAGTGAATGTGTAAATCTAAGGTTCAAAGAGTGAGAAGGAATGTCTCCGGAACCTCCTAATCAGGAAGGAATTGGAGAGCTGTACCACTTAATCATTGAGCCCTTTTGGGTAAAAGCCTGGGCAGAGGTCAAACTCTGCCTTGGATCTTAAACCCTTATCAGACTCTTAAGATTGGCCCTCAACAAAAAGATATGACAAGGAGCTGGCCAACACCCTCCATGTTGCAGTCCTGAGATAAATCTCTATTGGCATGCTCAAACTCCATTTTCTTCTCTTCTTCTCTTTGGACTCCAGATGTATCCATCCAGGTCTTGTTTTAATGCTTGAGAGATCCCAGTGGGAGACTCGTCTTCATTCCAGAAATAGCCAAACACTGGAAAAGGAAGAGATGCCTGACATCCTTAGATGTTATTCTCCTGGGAGCCCCCAAGAAGAGATGGGCCTGTAACCCACAGGCTCACAAGTGATCAATAATCAGAAGGAGCAGTGTAGAGACCCAAGGGCTCAGTCCCCTCATTTTTCACAGGGGGAAACAGGCCCAGAGAGAAGAAACAATGAGTGCAAGGTCACGTAGAGAGCTGAGAATCAAATCCACATCCTGTGACTCCCAAATTCAGCTCAAGCTCTTTGACTCAGCCTTTGCAGGATTGTCAACATTAAACATAGTTTTTCTTTAATTAAAAAGCTTTTTATCTTTTAAAAAATTATTGAAGTTATAAAATTAGCTTCAGTCAATTCTCCCACAGACTCTAGAGACTGTTTGAAATTAAAATTTTAAAGATACAGTATTTTTAGGTTTTTTTGTTTTGTTTTTATACATCCTTCATTGCCTGACATATCTCTCCTCTCCCCAGAGAGCTATCCCTTATAACAAATAGCAAAGAAAGAAAGAAAAAGACCTACAGCTGGAAGGGACCTCAGAGGCTAGTTAATCCAAACTCTTTCACTTTACACAGAGGTTTTACCCAGTTTTCTACCATGGAGTGCTTTGGCAGCAGTCTAAGGAAGCCTATGGACCTTTTCTGAGAACTTTTTTTTAATGTATAAAATACACAAGATATCAAAGGAAACCAATTATACTGATATATAGTTATCAAAATATCAAAAAATCAAGTTCATAGACTACAGGGAGTTAAGAGCACTTGATTTTATAAATAAAGAAACTGAGGCACAGAATTAAGCCTGAGTTCAGAGTCAGTGCTCTTCCCAT